TCTTTTCTTTTCTTTTCTTTTCTTTTCTTTTCTTTTCTTTTCTTTTCCTTCCTTTTCTCTTCTTTTCTTTTCTCTTCTTTTCTTTCTTTTCTTTTTAATTTTTTTAGAGCGAGTGTGTGAGCAGGGGAGGGGCAGAGGGAGAGAGATAATCTTAAGCAAGCTCCACACTCAGCATGGAGCCCCATGCAGGGCTCGATCTCATGACTGTGAGATCATGATCTGGGCTGAAATCAGGAGTCAGACTCTCAACTGACTGAGCCATACAGGTGCCCCTCTACTGGCCTTTCTTTAAATTCATTGGTTCTTTTCTTTGGCTGTGTCATCTGGGCTTGATGACTGCTTGGCTTCTTCAAATCAAGTTCTCTCGTGTCTTTTTGTAGGCCTCATAGTTTGTCAATAAAAGCCAGATGTGTTGTATAGGATAATAGATATTGAGTGTGTTAGTCAACTTGGACTGCCCTAACAAAATACCACAGCCTGGGGGTAACAGACATTTATCATTCACAGTTCTGGAGGCTGGACGTCCAAAGTCAAGGTGCTGACCAATTTGATTTCTGGTGGGGGCTCTCTTTCTGGCTGGCAGATGGCTGCCTTCCTCCTATGTCCTACAGGGCCTTTCCTCAGTGTGTGTGTGTGTGTGTGTGTGTGTGTGTGTGTGTGTGTGTATGTGCACGTGTATGTGGAGAGAAAGAGCATTCTCTGGTGGCTGTTCTTATAAGGACACAATCCTTTCATATCAGGGCCCCACTGTATGACTTCATTGAACCTCAGTTACTTCCTTAGAGGCCCCATCTCTAGACATAGCCACACTGGGGGTCAAGGCTTCAACATATGAATTTGGCAGGGGGACATAGCATTCAATCCATAACACTGTGGGCTTTAGCTGGGGTTCTGTGTAAATCTAGTCAGAGTTCGGCTGTGTTGCAGTGTGTGGTTGCCATGGTAACCTCTAATATCCCAGACACTTGGAATTGCTTGGCTTCTCTCCAGCTGTCTGCTAGGCTATGCACTGTTCCTACTCCTCTGCGAGGGGTAGAGTTACTTTACCCTCTTTCCTGCCACTACTGGCTCCTGGGGTTACATTGTGCCCTTAGGCTACCAGATTTGATGTGCTTCCCCAGGAAATTAAGGTTTCTCCACCAGTCTTCTCAATATCTCCATATCTTCCCTGTGAGCACCTGCTAGGGTCCCTGGAGCAAAACTGTACAAGAAGATGCTAACACCCCTATTTTGTGGCTCCCAGGGCCTCCCAAGTCTCACGCTAGCCCACACTTGACCTTGAGCTGTTTAAAATTTTTCTGATTTAATCTTGCCTGTTTCTGTATGTGGTGGTAGCACCTGTCTCAGGGAAGCAATGCTTGGCCCTGTTCCTCCCCGCATTCACCTGCCTTACTCTAGATTTCAAGTTAGGTGTTGTGATGCAGCCTCATTCTTGATAGAATAAGCCATTAACTTAACATTTGTTCCCTGTTTTCTGGTTGTGAGAGTGGGATTGGTGTGTTTCTAGCTCTTTATGTATCCCAAATGAAACTGGAAGTCCAGAGCCCACACCCTCTCTTAGAATGGACATTGGAATTAGGATATTGAAGCATGAAATCCCCTAAAGTTCCCAGTCCTGCTTAGAGCAGTAGGGTTAGTGGTAGGTCCTGAGGAAGGGACATCTTGGAAAGCAAACAAAGGAGGAGAAGAGGGCAAGGAGGACAAAGGAGTGGGGAGGAATAGGAAGCAGGTGGAGGAGGAGGGTGGTGGAGGAGGAGGGAGAAGAGGAGGCAGATGTGTCCATTTCAAGTATTTATGATAATTACCTTTTATTTTCTGATTATTGCCTTTTAAAAGGAATTAAATCATGCATAGAGCTACATGGAGATTTTTTTCTCTAGTATCTTCAATTGATAAGCTGGGTGCACTGAAATTTTAGGAAATTGGATAATTTTCCTTGCAGTCACCAAAAGCTATCACGTATTATTGTTTCTTCTAGTTCTTCTGGGGAGTTCCCCAGAATATCCTCTCACTCAGCTGAGCCACTCTTAACCCACAGGGTATCAGCAACATTCCAGAAAGACCTGGCACTTAAGGCCTTCAGGTGGGCTCATGAGATGGCTCTGGTGAGCAGTGCATGGTGCATCCCTGCCCTTTAATAAATGAGAGCACTCATCTGTACCTGCTCTCAGGACAGGGTAGCTCTGTTGTCCATCTAAGGGCTTGCTAAAGTCTTGATGTTTGCTTCACCACTTTAAAAATGTGTCTGAGTTTTAGGTAAAGATGTATATCCCTGTGAGAGAATTGGAAAGCTCTGTGATTTTTTATGAGCTTTGTTTTTCATTCATATGTCTTACCTCTATATCATCTCCATTAAACAAAACTAAGATATCCTTCTGTTTTCCTCAGCTCCTCCTGGAGCCTTCTCAAAGAAAGGTGTGGAGGCCTGGCTTCATGATGTCCCTATAAGATAGATGCTGCCTTCCCTTCATGGGACTTCACTGTAGGTGATCATAACCTGCTGCCAAGGCTGACCCAAGAGCTTGGAGTGAAGGGCTGGAGACTGTCCAGAAACAGTCTTCAGTGAGAACCAGATAGGAAGAGGGAAATATTTTGGAGAATCTGGGTTATTACTGTACTGTGGCAACTCCTGTATGAACCTTAGCAGTTAGTAGAAATCATAAGTAAGCATAAGTAAGGATATAACAGGATAAAATCAGATAATAACAAATAAGAGTCCTCTATTCATTCCACCAAGAAATGTACCTTGTCACTTTTATTCTACAGCATTGTGCACAGTCTTCCTTCCAAAGCAGCCCAAGTACACTAGGCCTTTCCTGGGACTTGAATGAGCCTAGGCCCATCCTGGTGGCTGGCAGGCAAAAATGGTTTCTCCTGGCAGCAAGGGCAACTTGGGAGGTCTCTCTTCTGTTCTCTGAGCAGAGTGTATATTTGGGTGAAGACAGAAGAGAAGTGGAAGGGATAGAGAGAGCTGTGTGAGATGGTAGGGATGCTGCAGAGTGGCTCTTATATGTTTAGTGACATTTGTGAAGGATGGCAAGTCAGACTTTATTCAGAAACCTAGTGATAGTTGTAGAGACCACTGCAGTGTGGGAGAGGGATTGAACTTGAAAACCGGGACTTTAAAACTAAGGAACAGGGTGGGGGGCAGTGGATGAAAAACTACCAAGAGGAAGCATCAGGGGTGAGAGGAGACTCTGGCCAAGCTGACCTCACTGGATTCTTGCTGTAGGCCGGCCAGAGTGATCAGACATCAATTAAGGATGGTGGGGCATGAGGAACCTGATCAGATATTGAGTGTGATCAGATATGGGGAATGCAGATTCCGACTAAATTAACCTACCAGGATTCTTGCTAAAACTGGACAATGCAGAGATAAACACAGAACCCCCAAAGTCACGGCTTAGTCTTAGAGAAGAGAGTTCAAAGGTGCATGACTAAAGTTTGGTCAAAAAGAGACTCACTCTGTCAATCATTAACCCTAATTAAGGCTGATGTAAGCTTCTTGTGGGTTCCTCAGAAAACATAATAGATTTCCCATGTTTCTGGAAGCTCACAGACCTTCTTCAAGGACCCTAGGCTGAGAACTTCCTGAGGGGGGTTGTGAAAGGAGAGATCAGAGGTCACAGGTCTCCCTCAAATGTCCCCAGAGAGCCAACTGCTGATGGTATCTACAAAAGGTGGGGGCAGACTGGGGAAAAGCTAGCTTGTGCACCAGAGTTTGGACCTTTGAAGGTGATTCTCAGCAAAGGGGTGTTATTGTGCAGGTCTGAGGCAGGCAGTGATTCTGGCCTGATTTTGAAAGTCAGTAGTGGTGTTCTCATTGTTGTTCTCATTAGTGAAGAACCCCATTGTTCTTCCTTGTTGACTTCTGGCCAGACCCCTGGATGGACCGAGCTGAGTAAGAGGCCTGGATGACAGACACTAGGGGTGTGTGTTTTAGTAGGAAGTGATCTTGGAGAAAGCTCCCATATGCATTAACGGGAGAATAACGAAGCTACCTTTTCTCCTATGAGGTTTTCTTTGTAACAATCAGGCTTTGTCACCTCAGTAATTGTAGGGGTTATTTTAGAAGCTTTGTGAAACAGGAAATGACTGTGATTGCAGGCACCTGAGGTTCTTTTTCCCTGAGTTGTTCTCTGTGCTTATTATGGGGGAGACATGTTCAAGGCTCCCAGGTCATTAGGTGAATAATGGTCAGCAAGCCAGGTTAAATATAAGCAGCTTAATTAGGCTTGTTCACTGGCCTTCCTCCTTTTCTTCTCTCCCTCCTCCCTTCTATTATTTTTCTTTGTTTCTTGACATATGGTCCATTTTCCATCACACCCTTCATAGTAGATCTGGGCTCCCAAAGTACATAAAGGAAACACTATACACATTAAAGGATTTGTCCCCTCCTGTTCTTCCTCTCTTACATCCTAAGCTCCTTATACTACCTCATAATTATGTTCTCCAATATGGTAACCACTAGCCACTAGCCACTAGTGGCTCTTTAAATTTAAATTTATGTTAATGGAGTAAATAACATTAAAGTTTCACTACCTCATTCACACCAGCCATATTTCAAATGCATAATAGTCAAATGTGATTTGTGGCTACCATATCAGGCAGCATAGATATAAAACATTCCTATCACCACATAGAATTTGATTGGTCAGTACCAGTCTAGAAATTAAGGGCAATCATTCATCCATTTGGTCCCAAACACTGGAGAAAATACATTGGCACTAGATAGATTTATTTTTATTGAATTGATCAATCTTAAAAGTTTCGTACTTTATCAAATGACATTGCTCCCATTTTTATCATGAAGATGGGTCCAAAGGGTCCCCACTTTCTTACCTCAGTTCAACTAAGCAAGAGTTGTGTCAAAGAAAAATTGCATAAGTTAAACAGTAAGGAAGACTTTATTTAAGACTATTGGCAATGGTGGGGGGGGGGGGAGATTGAACTCAACTCCAAATACAACAGGGGAAGCTAGGAATCTACAGTAGGATGAGGGTGAGGATGGAAAATTACCAAGGGGAACTTGGTTGTGTATGAGGAGAGAAGGGATTCTCAATAAACTGGGCTCACCAGGCCAAAGTTGAGGACTAATCAAGAAGAGGGCTCAGAGGAGCCCGACTCAAGTTTGGTCAAGGAGGAAGTCCTGGCCAGTGTTAATGAGCCTGGCATTTGATAGGCACTGTAGCAAACTTAAGGGTAAATCCAAGGGGACTCTACAGTTTAGGCAGAAATGAAGGCCTCTCTTCAGGCTATTGTGGATTTGTTCCATGTCCAGCAGCAGCACATTGCCTGTTGTTCAGAAGTGTTTTATGTGTCTTTCTCCCCACCATACATACACCTCTAGGACAGTTGCCCACACTTGGACAACCAGTGCAGAGTCAATGGTCACACTCAGAGGACAACAGGAAGATGCTTAACCAGGAACTCAGTGGAGGGAAGTCTAGGGGGCTCACAGAGTAGGAAGAAGGTTCATGGAAGACATGTCAAGTTAGGTCATGAAAAATGGCTTTGATTTGGGTAATGGGAAAGGCAGGAGACTTCTTTGATGCAGTCAGAGGAAGGATGCAATTTCTCTCTGACTTCTCTATTGCCCGCCCCCAGCAGGGACTCTGGTCTATGTTTGGAGGACTTCAAGGATGATGCTGTAAACAAATATTTATTGGTAAAATAAGTATTTTGGGGGGCGTCTAATGTGGTGAGAACTAAATTAGTCTCCAGAGAAGTAGAAAAATGAATAAGATGCAGATACTTTTCTTGAGGAGCGAGACCAGTTGGGAAGAAAAATCTTAAACAAACTGCAATATGGCATGAGTCAAATCTACAGAGGATCCACTGGAGTCGTAGATGACAAGCAAAGATTTTAAGAGAGGAGTGGAGAGCTTGAGTGAGATCTCAAAAGATGGCAGAAGTTCTTCATACTTGGAGAAGGCATTTGAAGCAAAGGCAGGGTACTATGTGTTAGGAGAATGGCAGATAGTTCAATATGTCTGCAAGTCAAGGATCAAAGCTGCCTGCAGGGATGAGGCTTGATTAGAGGCTCCTGTTTTCTGTGATCTGGAAGTCACAGATGATGCCAGAGCATCTCAGTGGGCTTTGAATCCTAAGTACGTGGTGGGCATGTAGAAAGACAGAGGAAAGGAAGGGTGGAAGTAAATGTGGTCCTGTGTCTATGTGGTTTTGTGTGCGCTCCATGTAATTAGTTAATCACAGGGTGATTTGTTATATGGTTGTCTCCTCAAGAGGTCATGAGATGCCCCTTAACCCCCAGGTTTTTATTCATTTATTTCTTGGTGTGCAATAGATGCTCCACAAACATTCCTTAAATCTGAAGGAGAAGCCACTGCTTTTCCAATGTTAGCCTCTAGGTGGTGCTGTTCCATCTCCTGGGTTTCTGCAAGGTCTCTAGAATCCTTTCTGAACTAAAATATTTCTCCCCACCCTGTATCTTGTGTTTGATCAGGGGAAAGACGAGGACAGGAGTAATTTTGGCGTGGCAGAAGCAGCAGTGTCTCTTTGGGCCTTTTGTTGGTACATCCTGCCTCATGTGTGACTTCTGTTTCCATTTGTCCTTGATGGAACCCAAGTAGCAGCATAGGTATGTGGAGAGGCTTTCCAGCCAAGTGCTGGGGACAGCTGCACATTCTGGGCTGTCTTATAGACAGTGGTGATAAAGCGCTTTCTTTACCAGGATGTGTTTGTATAATAATTTTTTTAAGCTAGTATATTTTGCTGGAGGAAATGGATAATGAAAAAGGATTAACCATTCACTGGCACTCAACACTCAATGCAAATCCTGTATACACTGTGGCAACAGTGAAGTTCTACCTTTTCCCTAAGTCTCTTCCATAAACCACCTGTTTCTTTTAGGGTTTCTGAATCTTCCTACAACTAGTGAGCTGCTGCTAAGACTTTTGAGGCCTTATACAAAACATAGATTATTTTGAGATTCATTTTTCCACCTACAACAATTTTCTCTTCTGGATGAAAATGACTGGGCCAGCCTCTTTGTAAAATCCATGTCATGTCCCCCAGGACCTTGCAGCAGAGGCAAGAGTTGGCCCAGAACAGAGAGGGAAGGGCTGAGTCGCACAGACCCCTATGTTTGTGCAACACCCAAATGCAGGATGTAAGTGCTAAGGGGCGAGCCTGCAGTGGGGAGTAAGTACCATGGGAATTATATTTTGTGTGGGGAAAAAGCCTCTTTTCCTGATAATTCTTCCCTGATCAAGACCCCTTAACACACTTTGAGGGGATTTCTCTCCTCTCACTTATTTAGCTGACTTCAGAATTCTTATTTTAAGTTCTCTTTGTGATTTCTCATTGTACAAATAGAGACCTGGCACCTGAGGATTTGGGCATGGATGTTGATCTGTGTATCTGTTCAGTCATGCAGCCATCCTGTCTACTAGCTCACCATGGGTCCAGGAACTTGGGCAGGAGTTTTATGCTGGCTGCAAAAGCAGAAGCAGAGATAAGGGTAGAATGGGGAGACACCACCACTTAGAGGTTAAACCAGAGGACCTGAAACATACACAATCAGAAATGCAATTTCTGCAGGGCAAAACACAATGTAAAGCCAATGTGTATGTCAGGAGTGAGGTGCTGAGGAGATAAGGAGTGGTCAATGGCTGCAGTACAGTTGGAGGAAACATCCTGGATATGCATTTCTGTGTGCACCTTCTGAGGAGGGTACTCACTGAGTGGGTGGTGGGGGCACTTTAGGCCTCTCTTCCATGCTTTGTGGTTCACCTTGACTTTGCCTCAGCTTCAAACCTCACCAGCCATGTGGACTCCACACTGCTCCAGGTGGACCTGGAAGGGGCCCTGGTGGCCAGTGGCCCAAGTCATACTGGAAGAGAAGAACATGTTGTGGTGGAGGTGACCCAGGCCGATGTTCCAGGCTCCAGGCGGCGGCGGCCACAGCAGGTTACACTTATACTTTACTTAAAAGGAATTGAAAAAACTCACTGCATCTCTTCATAAATTGATTTCCTTTTGAGTGGATTTGATGGGAAGCCATAAGGCAATGACACCATTCTTTTTTTTGTAATTTTATTTTTTATTTTTTAAAATTTACATCCAAATTAGTTGGCATATAGTGAAACAATGATTTCAGGAGTAGATTCCTTAATGCCCCTTACCCATTTAGCCCATCCCCCCTCCCACAACCCCTCCAGTAACCCTCAGTTTGTTCTCCATACTTAATGAGCCTCTTCTGTTTTGTCCCCCTCCCTGTTTTTATATTATTTTTGTTTCCCTTCCCTTATGTTCATCTGTTTTGTTTCTTAAAGTCCTCATATGAGTGAAGTCATATGATTTTTGTCTTTCTCTGACTAATTTCACTTAGCATAATAGTCTCCAGTTCCATCCACATAGTTGCAAATGGCAAGATTTCATTCTTTTTGATGACACCATTCTTAGGCAAGCCCTGTCTTTTGCTTTGTCTTTGCAATTATTTTTTCTCCTTTTGTCTAAGATAATTATAAAACTCTTGCAATTTCAGTAAAATCAGGCTTGTGAGTTTTTTATTCAGATGATTTTATTGGACAATTCAGGGAAATATATATTTGAACGTAGTTTTCTGTTGTTAAATCACAATTAAACTTGGGCCTTACCTCATGGTATAGAAGATACACCACAGTTCCTTTGGGTTTGTGGACACTTAACCAAGTAGTTAAGACTTTCATAATTTCCTACCTTCTGCTTCTAAAGCAATAGGCTCTTGTACTTAGTGTCTCCTAGACCATCTTTAGCTCCCATACTTTGAAGGCAAGGAAGGTCAGCAGTGGTGTTGTCACCATGGCCCAGAGCCCAGACAAGGCCTGGCCCCTCTCTGGGCATCCTGACCTATATCCCAAGTCCTGATAACTCCCTGGGATTATTATGGTGACTTGTGTATGAAGTTCATGGGTTTTTCCTATTATAATCCAGAGAAGGAAACCCTGCTGTTGCACAATGCTGTGTCATCCAAAACAGAGTGTCTGATGGGTTACTGCACCCTCTTATTTTCCTGCCATGCAGAGCAGGGTCCACAGAGCAAAGGCATCATTATTAATTAAGCTGCAGTTTCATGGGTGATGGTCTATGCAGCACCAGTGTTCTAAAAGTGTTGCCTTGGTCGTGGTCTTAGGACGTACACTTGGCTTCCTTGTGTGCAATGCACAGCCTGATGGCAGCGGCTTCTCAGTAAAGACAAGGTGGGCACACATCTGTCTGCTCTGTCTGTGAGTCTTGTGTGGAAGAAGATGTGACCCTTTGCAGCCTGCTGACATAACTGCCTGCCCATGGGGCTGTACTGAGCTTCTCTGCTCCAGTGCCAGCACAAAAATCCAGCTCAGAAACATGAGGAACACAAAAGTCCTTTACTACTAGGCTTTTTCTGATATACTCTTTCCAAATATTGAAGTGTTTTAAGAGAACATATGAACTCTCATTCATGCTTTGACTAATTTCAGAGTTCCTATTTTCATTTACTTCATGATTTTTGGGCAGCAAGACTCCCGTCCTCCCATCGAAGTTTCCCTGCCCCCTCAGCTGCCCCAGCCAGCCCCCACTCTCTGCTCATATCTGGCTCCCCTCAGCTGGTTCCTCCACTACCCTGCTTGGGACAGGAAGATGTGGGGTGGATTTGCTCACAGCAAAGGAGCTTCATCCTTGGATCCTGCCTCTCATGTGCTCCTGTGACATGGGTGTGGAGACTTGTCTCTAGTTTGCAAGCAGGAGGCAGTTGTAAGTAAGCATTTTCATGAGTTGCCTCAGAGGGCTCAGAAGATTCCAAGTCTCCCATAAAGTGCAGTGATTTATTTTCCTCATAATAAATCATTTTGACATCTATACCTTTGTATCTTTTATACTAATTCTATGTGTGTACTTTTGTATTCTTTTTTCTTTTTTTTTTTTCAACGTTTATTTATTTTTGGGACAGAGAGAGACAGAGCATGAACGGGCGAGGGGCAGAGAGAGAGGGAGACACAGAATCGGAAACAGGCTCCAGGCTCTGAGCCATCAGCCCAGAGCCCGACGCGGGGCTCGAACTCACGGACCGCGAGATCGTGACCTGGCTGAAGTCGGACGCTTAACCGACTGCGCCACCCAGGCGCCCCTGTATTCTTTTTTCTTAAAGCCCTTCATAATGTAGAAATTTCCAGTTCCATACAACTTGGATATGCTCTAGTGTCAGGGATTTGGGAGTTGTGTAAAAAGTCCTTGCTGTTCCTCTTTTTCTCCTTATTATAAAAAAACATGTACACTGAATAACACTGAATCCCAGGTGATGGTTCAAAGCCTTACTGTGATATTACATTTCAACTTTTACAGGTCACTCAGAATTGGACTGTATTTTTAAATCCGAGAAGAAGTGAGCGCTTGGTGGTGAGCAGGACCTTTGAGATACTGAGCAGGTGGGTCTCAGGTGATCAAAGATCTTGAGGGAAGGTCTTCTGAGACATGCTCACTTAAAAAGTTTGACCTGTGAGACTCAAATTTTTGGCACGAATAGCCAGATCAATTATATGACTTGGATGCGATGCTCTAACTGGGGAGACTGTGAACATGAGGGATGTAGGAGGGCATCATAACCACAAGTGTCAGGAAATGAGGATTGATTTCAGGGTCCATTTTGAAGCAAATGGTATTTTATAGTTGATTTTATAGTCATTAATATTATGAAGCTCTACAATGGAGAATTCCAGGAAATTTTCGGATTCTTTCTCTTTTTCTTTAATGCCACTCCATATTATGTCTGTAGGAGTTTGCTAGTCCTGTCATAACAAATACCACAGACTGCTTAAATTAAAAAGTAGAAATTTATTTCCTCAAGGGTTCAGCAGAGTTTGTCTTTTCAGAGGCCCCTCTCCTTGGTTTGACAATGCCTTCTACTTCCTGTGTTTTCACATGGTCTTTTCTGTGTTTGTGTCTGTCCCTATCCCTTCTTATAAGGATACCAGTCATACTGGATTAGGGACCACACTAGTGACCTTATTTTAACTTAATTACTCCTATAGAGACTCCGTCTCCAAATATAGTCATTTTATGAAGTATTGAGGGTTAGGGTGTCAACATCTATATTTTGGGAGGACACAGTTTGGCTCACAACAGTTGCTTACCAAACTTTTAGAAAAATGCTTTAGTTTCACCATGCCACATACTGTTAATTATTTGGATGCTTATTATTCCAGGTACTTTCCCCCATCATCTGTGACAACCCATCTATATATTCTCATGTTACATGTGGCCCTTTTCCAAATCACTGTCATGTGAGAATGGTTGGCTTTGCTATTTGTTAGCAGGTAAAGCAGTCAGTGTGTGATGAAGAGAAAGAGAATTTTAATTTTAAATGGCTAGAACCAATGTGAAAGTTCCTGCTCCTTGTTAATTGTTGGAGTGGCACCTGCCATGAAGCAGATACTGCCAGGTGGAGGCTGAGGGATCTACATTAGATGGATGTGACCACAGGGAGGCTGTGTCTGCATCTCACACTACTCATATATACCCTCAGAGCTCCTTGTCTGCCACGTCAGTAATTGGGCTAAATCACTCTGAGATTAATTTGGGCTCTCATTATGGCCATAGATAACTTGTGTTGGGAAGGACACCAAGGAAACAAGCACTAATTATTGACATAGGGTCTGGTTTCCTTTACTAATGGTAATATCTTTGCTTCATTCTACAGAGATACTGTTTCTATCAGCATTCGAGCCTCTGTCCAGCAGACCCAGGCTGTTCCTCTTCTGATGGCTCATCAGTATCTCCGTGCAAGCATAGAAGCACAAGTGATCATTGCTGTGGTCATCCTTGCTGGGGTCTACATGCTGATTATATTTGAGGTAACTTTCATGTCAGCTCTCAGATTTATTTGGGCTCACAAGTAAGTGTCTTTCAACGTGTGGATGTTTTGTATGGGCTAAGTTCTCCTTCTTTTTTTTAAGTTTCTTTATTTATTTTGAGAGAAAGCATGAGCAGGGGTGGGGAAGAGTGAGAGGGAGAGAGAGAATCCCAAGCAGACTCTGTGCTGTTAGCATAGAGAGGGCCTGACATGGGGCTCGATCTCACAAACAATTAGATCATGACCTGAGCTGAAATCAAGGGTCGGATGCTTAACTCACTGATCTACCAGGTGCCCCTCAGTTCTGCTGTTTCTTTTTTTTAAGTTTATTTATTTATTTTGAGAGAGAGAGAGAGAGAGAGAGAGAGAGAGAGAGAGAGAGCACACAAGGGGCAGAGAGAGAGAGGGAGAGAGAGAATCCCAAATGGGCTCCACACTGACAGTGTGGAGCCCAACTTGGGGCTTGAACTCACAAACCACGAGATCATGACCTGAGCAGAAATCTAGAGACACTTAACCGACTGCATCACCCAGGTGCCCCTCACTCAGTTCTGCTTCCTAATCAAACTGCCATGGCATCTTTCCTAAAAAGGAAGATTCCACCATTCTATGTAGAAAATTGGTCTGTACTGGAATATTTGCTGAATGTTGGCAACTGACACATGCAAGATGAGCTGCATCAGGTACCAGCAAAAATTTACCTGAGAAAACTGAATATGTGCATGATTTTCTTACTCTCATTCTGCTGCTCACTTGAAATGTGACCCTGAAGGGGCAAATGTGGAAACTATCTGAGATGTACATTAGACTGTCCCCTATTTGTTTTATAGGAATATGAATGTTATAGAGACTTGAGCGACCTTGGGCTATATGGGGGGGGGGGGGAAGGAATATTATCTGTTATGCTTATCAATTCAGTGTATGAGCCTTTTTACAAATGATCTTATGTTTTATAAATTATGTGTTTTTGGGGAGCTAAGCGTGGCCCTACCTTTAATAGCATGAAGCAAAGTGCAGGCACTGCCTGGGTGGGCTGGTACATTGTTAATTTAATTGTGAAACCAGACTTACTGCAACACATTGATGAGAATCTTGGCTCCAGTAGGTTGAGCCTGGAAGGTCAGTAGAGAATGTACTTCTAAAGAAGCATTTCTTCTTTAGTGTAGGATAGGTATGAGAAATACCTTGGAGTTGTCAAGAAAATGGCCTGCAGGAGAAATGGCCAGGAAAGTTCCAGAAGTTTGCCTGTGGTTGTCTAGTGTGCCTGGTGAGGAATGTTGGCTCCAGTAAGTTGAGCCCAAATTGTCCAACAAGGTCCACTCATTAGTTGTTATAGCTCTTATGTCTTCTTTATTCCAGAGTAGCTCTATTCTCTCCATTATTTTTCTCTTCTTTTTTTTAAACCAATATCATCATGTTTCAGGGTTCCCTTGGTCACCTAAACACTGTGATTTTTCTAGAAGGGCTCACAGACTCACAGGCAACTCTGCCCTGTCTGGGCTGTGGTTTATTATCATGACCAGCAGTGGAAGAAGCCTCATCAGGAAGTCTGGATGAGTCCAGAAGCAGGGTTCTGAAAGGTCTCCTTTCCCAGAAGGGGCCACATAGAACATGCTCCTTCCTTCAGCAGTGGCATTTATGCCCAGGGCAGCCTGCTTGACTCAGAGCTCCAGGGTATTGATGAAGGCTTGTCATGTAGGCTCCCTGAGCCCACCAAAGTCCTAGCCTCTCAGAAAGAAAGCAGGTGTTAACCATAAATCACATTTTATAAAAATAATTTAGACATGCTAGTACAGCAGAATGCAATGTTCTAAGCCTATATAACAACATTATCACTTTCTATCATAAGGAATATTCCAAAAGCCAAGTAAACAGATTCCAGCCAAGGGCCAACCCTAGAGCAGGCTCTTCTAAAGGCTCTTCTAATGATGGCAACCTTAGGCCTTCCAGGTTAGCTCTTTACTGTACCACCATCTAGTTCAAAAATATTTTTCTGTGGTTCTGTAGAACATCTTGCATCCTGGATTGGGCTAATGGACCCCTCATGGGATTCTTATTCTATTCCTTTTATTTCCTATGGACTACAATTTATATCTGAAGCCTTCAGGTTTTATTTTGGGGCCTTTTGCTTCACAGGTGTTCTAGGAGTTTGACTTGCACCAAGGAGAAGTGTAATGTCTAGATGTCCCCCTTGCAGGGATGCTGAGATTGCTTAGTGAGTTTAGGTGGTGGCAGCCTGGCCCAGTGTTTATCAAGTTCCCTGTGACCTTTGCTCCTAATAGTTTTAATACTCACCAGGGACCATTAGCATTTGCAATGAATTTTCTAATTCTGTCATTCTATCTGCATTTATAAATGACACATTCTGTACTGAAGAACTTTCTCCCACCCAATTTCATTAACGTGAAACACACTTAATGCCAGAAACACAAGATAAATTATTTTTCCTTAATTATCAATTTTCATAATAATGATTTGTTGCCTTAGCAACTTCCAGTGGTGTCCACTGAATTTATTTTTTGTCTGTCTCCCATTTACTGAGTATCATTTTGAACTTATGGGTTTAATAAATTCAATGTATTTTATTTTTTATTTATTTATTTATTTTTATTTATATATGAAATTTATTGTCAAATTGGTTTCCA